AGGTCTTGCCAAGTTGCCCAGGTGGGTCTTGAACCCGCGAGCTCAGGCAATCCACTCACCTCAGCCTCCCAAAGCACGGGATTACAGGCTGAGCCACTGAGCCCAGCTGACCTCACTGTTTTCATATTAGCTAACTGCTTGTAGCAGAGTTACCTGTTAGTGACAGACCATGTGGTCCCCAAACTGAAAATATTTGCTATTTTTCGTTTGAGAAAAAGTTTGTTCAACCCTCTCCCCCTTTTCTTAATGTGTTCAAAATACTTTCTCCTTTGTTCTCACTTTTCCTCCCACCTCTGCACTTAAAGAAGAGCTGGAGAAATGGGAGCCTCAAGGGATCAAGTAATTGGCCTAAAGTCACACACTAAAAGGGAAGAGAAAGATTGGGAATTCAGGATTTCTGGCAAACAGTTCCTTGTTCCACTCTTGTGCTGCGTCTACCTCTGTGGGCCGTGGTCGTTTCTGCCCAGAGGGTGTGCTTTTTCTCCATCTGGGGCAAACTAGGGTCCTCAAGAGGCTGCATCTCACCATGTTGCCATCTCTGCTCCAGGCCAGCTGCCCACCCTCCAGACTGTCCGCTATGGCTCCAAGGCTGTTACCCGCCACCGTCGTGTAATGCACTTTGAGCGACAGAAGCTGATGGCTGTGACTGAGTATATTGCCCCCAAACCTGCCATCAACCCAAGATGCCTACCACCTCCTCCCAGCCCTCCCAAGGAGGTAAGGAGGAGTTTGATACACGTTACTTGGTGGTGGGATGTGAACTACAGTGATCTTGTGTCTGACGATATGAAGTAGGACCCCGAGCCACAGTCACTCACATCATTATTTCACTTCCCCACTTTGACTGCATGGTCCAGATACTTTTGTTTGAGTTGGAGTCTCACTTGTTCATCCAGGCTGGAGTACAGTGGCACAGTCATGGCTCACCACAGCCTTCGCCTCCTGGGCTCAGGTGATCCTCCCACCTCAGCCTCCTGAGTAGTTGGGACTACACCCAGCTCATTTTTTTGATATTTTGCAGAGACAAGGTCTCACTATGTTGCCCAGGTTGCTCTTGAACTCCTGGACTCAAGTGATCCTCTCACCTTGGCCTCCAAATGTGCTGGGATTATAGGCATGAGCCACTGGACCTGATTTTTTTTTTTTTTTTGAGTAAGAGTCTCACTCTGTCGCCCAGGCTGGAGTACAGTGGCGTGCTCACAGCCACCCAGCTTCGACCTGCTGGGCTCAGGCGATCCTTCTGCCTCAGCCTTCCAAGTAGCTGGAACTACAGGCATGTCCCACCACTCCCAGCTTACTTTTTTGATTTATTGTAGACACAAGGTCTCGCCAAGTTGCTCAGGCTGGTTGCAAACCCCTGAACTCAGGCAGTCCTCTTTCCTCGGTCTCCCAAAGTGCTGAGATTACAGGCTTGAGCCACCACACCTGGCCTGATATGAGACATTTAGCAGCAAATCCTCAAGGATGAATGGGAGGACAACCCACCCATCTGGGTTTTCTCCCCATGAAAGCAAAGAACTGTCTAAGATGAGTGCTGAAGTGTCAGCCCATGGAGCAGTGGTAGGCCAGCCATTATGTTTGAGTGGCTGGAGCTTAGCTTTTGCCCAGCTAAAATTGATTGACAGCATTTTCCCCCAGTTCAGATAAAAAAGTCAAGTCACTGAACGGATTTTTCCCAGTCAAATTTTTCTCCCATAATTTTTTCTTAAGCCAATGGTGCATCCTACCTCATAATTATTGAAGAATCCAGAACAGCACCATGCAGTAGAACTTGCTGGGTGATGGAAATGTTCTGTATCTACAATGTCCAATATGGTAGGCACTAACCATATGTAATTGTTGAGCACTTGAAATGAAGCTTATGTGACTGAAGAACTGCTTTTTTTTTTTTTTTTGAGTAGGAGTCTCACTCTGTCACACAGGCTGGCGTGCAGTGGCACATTCATGGCCACCACAGACTCAACTTGCTGGGCTCAGGTGATCCTTCTGCCTCAGCCTTCCAAGTAGCTGGAATCACAGGCGTGCACCACCATGCCTGGCTAATTTTTTTTATTTATTGTAAAGATGCGGTCTCACCAAGTTGCCCAGGCTGGTCTTGAACCCCTGGGCTCAGGCAATCCTCTCACCTTTGCTTCCCAAAGTGCTAGGATTACAGGTGTGAGCCACCATGCCCAGCCAGAACTGCATTCTTAATTGTATTTAATTTTAATTAATTTAAATATAATTAGCCACATGTGCTTAGTGGCTACTGTATTGGAGAGGGCAGAGCTGGAGCCTATATTTAGCCCAATACTGTGTCTTCCATTATTTTACCTTGTGTGTGTTATTATTTTCATGGGATACTGCAAAAAGAACCCCATGACTTCCTGGTAGTCCACTCTTCAAGTAAATCTTCGAATCATTGCCTTGGGGAAAAGTCTCATGGTTTAAGGAGGTCTATAAATACATTCTCCCGTTTGTGATTCTCGGCTTTGAGAAACATTGTCTTAAGAAAATGAGGTCTTGTTCTGTGAAAATGTCTCAGTTTTGAATTAACACTGAAGAGTTTATACTTTGTAAAATAATTCAACATGAATTGTGTCATATTGATTGTTAAAGTAATTTTGACAGTATTATTGACCTGTTTTGGGGGTGACAATACTGTTTGACAGTATTATTGACAGACTGTTGACCTGTTTTGGGGGTGAGGGTACTGAGTATTCTCAGGTTTAAAAAATACTACTCTGATCAGGCACAGTAGCTCATGCCTGTAATTCCAGCACTTTGGGAAGCTGAGGTGGGAGGATCACTTGAGCCCAGGAGTTTGAGACCAGCCTAGGTAACACAGCGAGACCTCACCTCTATAAAAAAAAAAATTAAAAATTAGCTAGACATGGTGGTGCACACTGGTAGTCCTAGCTACTTGGGAGGCTGAGGCAGAAGGATCACCTGAGTCCAGGAGGTAGAGGCTGCGGTGAGCACATCACTGCACTCTAGCCTAGGCGACAGAGTGAGAGTCAAACTCAAAAGCACACTCTAAAGATTGGGATCATCTCGTGAAGATGACAAGGTTAGATTGGGAGATGTTACACATCTCTGAGAGTCAGGAGCCCAATTATTGTACCTGTCCCCCACATTTGCGCATCACTGGAAGCCTTAGGACCTACCCCGGAGGGAGCAAGGGTGTCAGGAGAGGCAACAGCTGATGTTCCCTTGGTCATTCCTTTCTGACTTCAGGAGACAGGCCTCATTCGGCTCCTCCGCCGGGAGATAGCAGCAGTTTTCCGAGACAACCGAATGATAGCCGTCTGCCAGAACGTGGCTCTGAGCGCCGAGGACAAGCTTCTTATGCGACACCAATTGCGGAAACACAAGATCCTGATGAAGATCTTCCCCAACCAGGTGGGGTGTGGGCCCTGACTCAGGCTCCCCACCTTCCTCCCACCCCTGCCACGCTCAGACCTCAGCATCTCCTCCCCAGATGTGACACTCCTGCCTCCTCCCCTTCACAGGTCACTCTCTGGCCTGGTGCCTAAACTGCTGAAGGGACCCTGGGGTTGTGCCCTCAGCCCACTGGGGCCTGTAACCAAGGTGATGGCTCTTCTCCCTGGCTCTTCTCCCTACTCGAGCTTCATAAGCCCTTCTCTCCTGCTGCCCCAGGTCCTAAAGCCCTTCCTGGAGGACTCCAAGTACCAAAACCTGTTGCCCCTTTTTGTGGGGCACAACTTTCTGCTGGTCAGTGAAGAGCCCAAGGTCAAGGAGATGGTCCGGATCTTGAGGACTGTGCCTTTCCTGCCCCTGCTGGGTGAGCAAGCGCCCCCGCCAGTTAGGGGTGGGGTGGGGAGCAAGTGCTGCAACTGCCTGGAGCCATCTGCTGGGCTTGTCTGTGAACATCCTCTCACAGATAGGACCTGAGTCAACAGGACATTTTTTGAGGGCTGACTGTCACAGCCATACCTGTGTTGTCTCACCCCGCCCCGTCACTCCCGTTGGGGAGAGGTAGGGGGAGAAAATTCCGACACCTTGAGTCTAACAGTGGGTAGGCTGAAGCCCACACAGAGGAAAGTGTTGAAAATAAATAGCCTAAGCAAAGTATGCCGAGGGACAAGGACCAGTGTTTCCTAGAGTCACCTGATGCTAAGACTCACTGGAGAGGCTTATTCTATAGGGAATACTATGCGTGTCCCGTAGAAATTCTATTTTCATAAGTCTCTGTGAGGGGCAGGAATCTGTGATTTTAAATTCCCCCAACACACATGCTCCCTTTTTTTTTTAACTTCTTAATTATAAAACACATGTAACAAAATGCACCCTCTTAATCATTTCAAGTCTATAGTGCTATGGTGTTAAGTACATTTATAATGTACGACTACCACTACCATCCATTTCCACAACTCTTGATCTTATAAAACTAAAGCTCTATACCGTTAAACAATAGCTTCCCAATTCTTCACTGCATGATTCTCATCTTCAAGAAAATTCAGGCTGGCATGGTGGCTCACGCCTGCAATCCTAGCACTTTGGAAGGCCAAGGCAGGAGGATTATTTGAGTCCAGGAGTTCGAGACCAGCCTGGGCAACATAGCAAGGCCTCATCTCAACAAAAAAATCAGCTGGGTGTGGTTGTGCATCTTGGGAGTTTAAGTTGGAAGGATCGCCTGAGCCCAGGAGATTGAGGCTGTGGTAAGCTGTGATCGTGCCACTGTACTCCAGCCTGGGTGACAGAGTGAGACCCTGTTTCAAAGAAAAAAATAAAAATAAAGTTCAGGAAATACTGACTTAATGGGAGTCACCGAGGTAGATATGTGATGCAGGAGTTTTCTGAGGGAAAAGTTGGGGGGTGGATCCCAAGCAGAGTGAGGATGGGGGGTGCAGAGGAAGCCAGCTTCTGAGGAAGGCAGGTGGTGGAGAAGGGCAATGGAGAGCAAGCTCCTAGGTCAGAAGTTGCTTTCAGAGAAGAGGAACATTTGCAGGGAGCCTAGCTGACACTGTGTCCTTCCAGGTGGCTGCATCGACGACACCATCCTCAGCAAGCAGGGCTTCATCAGCTACTCCAAGCTGCCCAGCCTGACTCTGGTGCAGGGGCAGCTGGTGGGAGGGCTCACCCTCCTTACGGCCCAGACCCACTCCCTACTTCAGCACCAACCCCTCCAGCTGACCGCCCTGTTGGACCAGTACGCCAGACAGCAACGCGAAAGGAACTCTGCTGTACCAGCTGGCGGGAAGCCGGATCCTCCTGATCCTGTTCCAGACTCATAGGCAGCCTGTTTTACCCAGCCCTGCCCATAAATAGACTCTGCCCTGTTGGATACCCTGTCCTCCGTGGGAAATGTGGAAGAACTTGGGGGGGGGGATGGCATTTGTTACTTGGCTTTCCCTCACAATGACTTCCTCGGGTACAGGGTCACTAAGAGATGCACAGGGATTCTGCTTCAGAATGGAGACTGTCGCTCACTGGCTTGGGCCTCGTTTTCCCAGCTTGGGACCTGAGAGATGTAAAATCTCTGAGCTCTCCATGTCCAAGGCAGAGAGGCTGAAGGGATGAGGCCATTGCCCCACCTCTTTGTTTACTGTCCCTTTCTGCATGTGGCTCCTCAGCCCACCCCCTCAGGGCACAGCCTGCCACAGCAGCTCAGCTGAGCATTCTTGTTGAGGATGGCACCTGGTGAGAGCCTGCTTGTGCCAGGCTCCATGCTGAGCACTGTGCATGTTAACTCCTTTATTCCTCACCACATTCCACCCATTTCACAGAGAAGGAAATGAAGGGGCAGAGAGGTTAGGTAGCCTGCACAAGGACATGCAGTTAGTAAGTGGCAGAACACGGATTTGAACAGGCCCCTCTGCTCTGAAGAACCCTGCCTTGAGCCACTGATGCCTCCTTATCAGGTTACCCAGAAGGTCCTGGTGTGCTTGGATGTTAGCTCTCTGCCCTCAGGCTGTGCCATGCTGTGGAAAGGTTGGGAGCGCTGCCTTAGGATGTAATGAAATGCCTTCTGCTTCTTTTGTTCTGCTGTGTCCAAGGTTTTCCTCCCTGTGGTCTTAAGGGCCTTTCTGTCCTCTGACTCTCCTCTCTCACTTCCTTTCCTAGAAAACCTTTCCTCTTCTATGGACCTGTTCCCTCCCCACAAGTGGCTCTTGCATGCTGTCTTCTTGGGGTCACAGGCCTCAGGTGGTTCTGAACGAAAGGGCTGGGGAAACGGACACTCTGTTCATGAGGGATTCTGGGCTTGAGTAGGAGGCCTCGGCCATGTCTTGGGGAACTAGAAGTTAATAAAGGAGACAGGATGCTTGATTAGAAGACCACCAGCGTCCTTGATTGGAGGGTTGAATGCAGGGATGATGCCGGGAGGGTGGCTGGCAGCCTTCCTTTCTGACTTGGGGCCGCGCCACAGCTTCCGTGGTCATGGACGGACACTGGTGATCTACAGCAGCTTTTATGTGGCCTTGGCCAGGACCAGCTTCTCAGTGCCCAGCCTTGTGCTGTATGCCCAGGGATGTTCATCACTGAAATAAAAGGCCCTTAGGGCTCCTGGGTGCCAGCACTGGTCTGGCCAGTGCTGCTTAGTGGCTTACCCTGCCTCCCAGAGTCCTGAAAAGTGTTAACACCACCCTCCGGGGTGACTGAAGCAGCACCGAGCCACTGAATAGAGTTAGGACAGCAGTGTCCCTAAGAGATGTGCAAGACCCTGAGGTGTAAGCATGCTCGTATGGGGACCAAGGGAAGGGGGCAAGTGACCTTTGTCCTTTTCGGGGCCAGAGAAGATTGAATCTTTCAACTGGTGGCGGTGCCTGAGGTCCCACCATTAAAAACCCACATCTTTCTGGAACACTCCATTGCATTTAAGGCTGTGGGTCTGTGCCACATTCATTTGAATTTTAGCTCTTTTCCCAAGAGCCGGTTTTTCATTAGAATTGAGCAGTGGAACACAGTACTCCAGTTGAAGGACGTGCTCTGGGAGGGAAGGGAGGGGACCCAGGCTGGCTGCAGCCAGCTCTTCCCACAGCCAGCTGTGCCAGTCCCAGGCCAGCCCCATCCAGAGACTCAGCCGGTTCTGGGGTTTCATCTTACCACTCAAGAGCTTCCAGACCCCAATGGGGCCTGACCTGGGGAGCCATCACCCCGATGAAAGTCCTTGGCGTGAAGGCCACTGGCTGCCCCTCTCTTGCCTCAACTGCCCCTGCTGACTTTGCTCTTGGCACTCTCTTGTGGTCCCAGAGGGGGCATCTGTCCCTTCCCTGTCAACCCGATATCTTTGCTGGCTCCAAATTTTGCCATCTATTTTCAGATGTAAAATGAGAGGGGGGGAGTTTAATAAGGAAATGGCCTTGGGCACTAACGGGGTCAAAGCCACGCAAGTCTGAATAAATCCTTTACTGCCACTGGCTCGAGGCCAGCAGTTCCTCAGTCCTCTGATCTATCTGGAACCATGCCCAGTGGGGACCGTGCCCTGCTCCCAAGCCATGTCGGTGCCTGGGGAGTCTGCTCAGCCCTGAGTCCTCCGGGGAGCAGGGGGGCA